ATTATTATTGTAATATTGTATCATTCTTTATCGCTAATAAATTTTTTCGCATGCAAGTCGGATTTTATTTCAAATGATCACTTTTATTTTCAATTTGAAAAATAAAAGTGATTAATTAATAATTTTTTTTTACTTTGCAGAATTAAATTATTTTAAAGATAAAAATTTAGAATGTTTATAATAGTATAGAAAAATTAATTCATTGTTCTAAAAAATATATTAAAATATGTAGAGTGATTATATTAAATAGAGTGAAAAATAAAAATAACTTTTATTATCTTTTTTTTATTTTCTTGAGCTAGAAATTTTCAGATCTTACTATATGCAATAAATTCAAAAATAGTAATATTCTGCATATTATATTGTTTAGTTTCTTTTTTTTTATTATTTTTCTTTAGAACACTGTTTTAAATTAAAGTGAACATAAATTTCATCAAGATGGCAATTGGAAATATTATCTGTGGAGTAAATACTCCAAAAGTGAAGAAAAAGAAAGTTAAGGTATTTTTTTTTAATTAACGCATTGTGTTATATTATTGTAATTTATTAAATACAATTTTGGTTTTAATTTAATTGAATTATTATTATAATTTACTTAATTTTATTTTGTAGTATAATAAGTAATATTTATATAATAATAATGATAAGAAATTACACTGTAAAGATTTTTAATATACAATATTTTGAATTAACATTTTTCTTTTCTGACTGTAGCTATTGTATCCTTATGTTTTTCAAATTGTAGACAACTGAGCGTAGTTGGATAGAGGCAACATTTCAAAAGAGGGAATGTGCAAAGTTTATCCCAAGCAATGAGGATGGAAATAGGTAGGACTTCCTGAAATAAGCTGTAATGAGTATGTATATGTATAAAGTGTTTCAGGATTTAATGGACGAACTGTGAGAACATATTTTACTAGTGGAAGTAAGAAAAAGATATTATATGAAGTTTGGTTATACTCTATTATAAAATTATAAATAAGTATTGAAATGGAACATGAATTAGGAAACACGGATTTTCCATTGCGCAGAATATGAAAGTATATGTTTTGCATGGAAAAGTTAAATTATTTTTTTATCTCGTATGTATATTCATCATCATATTTACTATCTTTAAGTGATTTAGTATCATTTCGATCTGTGCGTTGATTCGTTCTCTGAGACAACGGCTAAACTCGAAAAGAATAGCTATTAGATTTCTATTCTTGTGAAATAATAACTGCCATCATTATACCAAAATGCCATCAATATGTTCCATTTCATAATATTAGTTTATAACTTGATAATAAAATATTACTAAAACTTCATATAACATTTTTTTTCTTATTTTCACTTGTAAAATATGTTTCCGCAGTTTATTCATTGAATATTGAAACACTTGGATATTGAAAAAACAAATGGTATGAAAGCGAGTAATACTCGTTTGCTAAAAATTGTATACTATGAATTCTATACTATAAATTGTATAAAATTTTCTACGATTACAGTAAAATTATAAATTGTAGTAACACATTTATGTTATTTTATTGTATAATAAATGATTCTTGATACTTTATATCACCAAAATGCAGCGTGTGCCATGGAATGTGACTTATTTTTAATTAATACTAAGAATGGACATAAATTCATTGCTTCTCATTGATTAGTTTGTTTTTATTCCTCTTTTGCATTTATCATTAGTTTGCAAACCAATAAATATTTTTTGTCATTTCAGCACTTGATTTCATCTTTTTTATGTTTAAGATTGCTAAAACGGAAATTTTGTCATTAACTTTCCGGGAACAGGCCGACAGGAGTCATTTTACTTTGTCAAAAAAATACTACATTCATGTCATAGCAACAAAGCTGATTTTTTATTTTTTTATTATTATATATAATATAAAAACTAAAATGACATGACAGACTGTCATTTTATCACTTTTTATATCATAAATAGGAAGAAAAAATCATCTTTGTTGCTATGATACGAAAGCATTATTTTTTTTTATTGCTTCCGTTGACCCTTGTTCTGCCTGCCAAACTACTGTTTTAGCATTCTTAAAAATAAAAATAATGTTAAGATATGGTACAAACGATAAATCAAGTTTGCGGAAATTGTATGACAAAATGTTCACTGGTTCCCGAACTATATGTCATCATATTTGTCATCATATTATTATGATTAGATTGTGTCTATTATTATAAATTATTATTATAAATTACAATTTCTGTTTTGATATATTTTAATTACAAATTTTCAGTCATATTTATATCTATAATTTGCGTTTTTTTACCCGCTCATTTATTGATTTGATTTACTTTTTTTGTTTCATTCTATTTATAGGTTTGTACAAATACAGGGCGATAAGAATGCAGAATATGATGTAATTACTACTTCCAGGTAAGACTCATGTGCATCTTGAGTTGACTTATATTGAATTCTTTTTTCTTTCATAACTTTGATAGTAATGTTACATATTTGATGACATTCTTGTTGTAGCAAATTTTTTAAGTACAGATGTTTCCATTCTTCTAAATGTATATTCTTCTTGCCTATTTCATTATACGAACTTTGTCATACTTAACTATCACTATGTTTAATTACATTAACAATTCTTTTTATGTGGCATTTATATCTTGTAATTTTTTTTCACATAAAAAATTTATATTTGTATATGACATATGGTATTAAAATATATATATATATATATA